ATTTACTTTAACAAAAAGAAAACAACTAGTTTGTTTATTATTTTCTTCTGCACACCTTTTTTTTTTTTTAAAGAACTTCATGATTCATCCAATAATTCATTATTTTCATTATTTATGAAACACTGATAATTTTGAATCTTAGAGTCACCAAAACTCGACCTACTGCCTGTCTGCCTCAAATATACAATGCCACTATCTAACGCAATTTAAATGTTTACTACATACAATTCTAGAAAAGAAAAGCTACACATGGTCCGTCCGAATCAGTTGATGGTCGTGATTTTATTTAGGGCTGTTTTACTTTATTCCAGAAGCTAATGGTTTAATATAGATTTAAAGTTTCTTTTTATCTATGGTTAGGCGTTTAATTATTTGATATAGACTTTAGTTGACGTTTTAAAAAGAAACAAAAAACTTTAGTTGACGAGAATAGTTATACTTTAGAGTTTAGAGCAGTCATTCAAAATGGGAGACTACTACATCTGCATGCAAGTAAAAGGCAATCACGCTTCTTTCTCTTATTTGTCATTTATTTTATTTTTTTCTAAGAAAACCATGTCCTTTAATTTGTCTAATCGATTAGAAAATGATAAATATTTTAACCATATATGTCTTAGTCAGTCCAAATTTATGAGGATTTTTTTAAAATGCAAGAAAATTAATTGATCTGTGGGAAGATAATTAATTTATGTTGATTGTAATTTGACAATTCATTTAAACTAAGAATACAACTTAGTTCATGCAGTCATATACTTAAAAAGACTACAAATCAATTATCAGGTATATATATTTTTTTTATCGATTATCAAGTATAATTTTTTGTGAGGTGTGACAAAATAGTATCAGGATAACAAGTTCCCTTTAATAATATGATTTTTTTTTTTGTAAGCGGGCGTGATCTAATTAAAAGAATTTATATCTATTTGTTGTTGTTCTTTTTTTTTGTGCAACCGTGATTATATTAAACTCTCAATCAAAGTTTGTTGCATGCATAAAAAGATTTATATCTAGTCATTACTTATCTTACACGTTCAAAACCAATGTTTGAATTGTCTTCCACGAATATTCCTTTTACCCACAAAAAAAAGTAATCACTAGAGGAATGACCAGATCAGAATGCAACCAAACAAAAAATAAAGAAAAATCAATATTCTATAGTTGTGAAAAGATCAATTTTGAATATAATGTTCATTCTGGATATAAAGGTTAAAACAAGTAAGGCCACAATTAGCTAATTATTTAATTTTATCAAAATTTTATATGTCTGTAGCATTCTTCTGCTAAAAGGCCCGCATCATAGAGAGAAAAAAAAAGACATGCACGTTGTCTTTAATCAATTAATCTACATGTTATGTCCTACAAGATTATTAAATATACTACAGCCAAAATGCAGTATGTTTGTAAGTCAATTTTAGGATTACGGTATCTCACTGAATTATTTAGATCGCGTTTATCTTGTTATATTACCTTAGCGATTCACTTCAATTTTCCTTCTCTATTAAACTCTACACATGCTTTGAATGCGTTTATCTTGTCGTCATTAACTTAGTGATTTACTTAAATTTTCTTCTCTATTAAACTTTATGACTTTATGTGATCGAGTGTAATGGCATAACTTTTTTCGTTAACGAGCATAGTTGTATAGTTAGTCTTTAGATTGCTTCTTGTCCTAACATTTATTTATATATACGATAGCTAATGATATTAGTTTGTTGCATGTTTAATAGTATTAGTTTCAGTGACATGTATAGCCGATAAGCCGTGCTTATGATATATGAATATGATGTTAATAATGATAGTTAATATATATAACGCCAATAATTACTTAGAAAGAGAGCATCTCATTTCCAATATGCTTTTCTTTTGGCAATCATTTCCGATAGTGTTTTCAATTGTATAATTGTATTCTCATTCTTTCAAGTCGTCGTTTACAAAATACTATAATCGAATTTAGATTAGATGCAGAATTAACTTATTAATTTATTAGATTACTTAGACAAACACGCGTAGTCACGTACGTGTTGCACATGAAAAAGTAAACAATAAAATGTTTGTATTAAATAATATAAATGGCTGTAGAAAAGATCAAAACAGGATGACTTGTACGTCTTCTATAGTTTTTCTAAATGATACAAATCGGATTATCATGTGCCATGTGATTTAGAGGAAAAAGACCAACACAAAAGGAATCTTTTTTCCTGCAAAGTGAGACTATATCTATATACATAGCCTATATATTGGCATGATTACATATTACATATGATTCATGTACAATACAATTTATACAAAGATGAAAGATCAAAGCAAAAAATATAGATTTGAGCATTTTTTTATTTTTGAATGTGAAATAATCTAATTTTCTTTTTTTTTTTTTATATATAAAAAAATCTAAGCTATATATATTTTAATCTAAGCTATATTATTAATGATCATTTCCTACTATACAATGTCTTATGGGTTTTTGCTATATTAGTGGGCTTTTACGGGCCTGAATGATTGATTATACCGAAACCTTGATCCAGCAAAAATCTCCCCGCCATGACCTTATCCATGGAACTCTGCAATCTTCTTCGTTTACCATTTTCTTCTACTGTTGCAAAAATCGTGTCTTTGTGTTCTCGAGTCGAGTTTGATGATTTGGTTTCTTAATTTTTGTTTGATAATAGTCTAAAGAAGCAATGGAGCTTTGTTCTTCATCTTCATCATCTTCTCTCCTTCGCATTTGTTCATCTTCAGCACCAGAGATCTCATTTTCTTCTTCAATTTCTCAGTTCCCATCTAAAATCCAATCGATTCTCACAAAACCCAGATTCCAAAATCTCCGAATTTGCGCTTCCGTGGCGGCGGAGACTCAAGGTCTTCCACGAGACAGTCCTCAACGTCTTCTCAAGGAGCTCGCGCAGCGTAAAACAGCGACAGGACCGAAGAAAAAGGTTCCTCCGAAACGATTCATCTTAAGACCACCATTAGATGATAAGAAATTAGCTGAGAGATTCCTCAATAGTCCACAATTGTCTCTCAAGTCGTTTCCTTTACTCAGTTCTTGTCTTCCATCGTCAAAGCTTAACAACGCTGATAAAACATGGATCGATGAGTATCTTCTTGAAGTTAAACAAGCTTTAGGGTATTCTCTGGAGCCTTCAGAGAGTTTAGGAGATGATAATCCGGCGAAACACTTTGATACGTTGCTCTATCTTGCGTTCCAGCATCCGTCTTGTGATAGGGCACGTGCGAGGCATGTGAAGAATGGGCACTCGAGGCTTTGGTTTCTGGGTCAGTATGTGCTTGAGCTTGCTCTTACGGAGTTTTTCTTGCAGAGGTATCCGAGGGAATCTCCGGGACCTATGAGGGAGAGAGTGTTTGCTTTGATTGGGAAGAGGTATCTCCCCAAATGGATTAAAGCAGCGAGCTTGCAAAATCTCATCTTTCCTTATGATGATATGGATAAGTTGATTAGAAAAGAGCGTGAGCCACCGGTTAAGTAAGTTTCTCTCTTCTCTTCTTTGATGATGATGATGATGATTTCACTTGAGTGTTAGTCCATAGTTTTGTTGTTTGGAGCTGAGACTTTAGTTTCAAGGAGTTAAACAATGATATGTGTTAATATCTGGTTTTGCTGTATGTGGAACTATTAGATCCTCTCAAGAACTACATTCTGTGTTTAGATTAGCCAAAGTCTCACTATGAGAGCTTTTAGCTGTTCAAAGGTTTCTCAGCTTGGATAAGATCTGTCTTATCTGTTTGTAGTGTGTCTTTGTGATAGCTGGTGCTAACTATCTAGGTCGGGATTTCTATTTGATTGAACTAAATGAATGAAAACTTGACGAGTCTGTGCATTTCAATATCTCACAAGAGACAAGTACTTATCCATGTGAATTTGTTATGGCTAGATCTGTGTTCTGGGCTTTGTTTGGTGCCATCTATCTATGCTATGGGATGCCGGAAGTGTATCGTGTACTTTTTGAGGTGTTTGGGATGGATCCAGATGCTGATGAGTGTCAGCCTCGAAGCAGGAGACAGCTCGAGGATGTAGATTATGTTTCTGTTGAATTTGAAGGCAAAAAGCTAGGTTGGCAAGATATTGCTACTTACAAGGTAATGATATAAAACCAAAGTATCAAGCTATGAAAACACAGTTAACTTCTTTGGTTTATCGAAGAAGAGTGATTCCTTTATTAATTATTCTGTTTCTTCAGCCTCCTGAAGATGCTTTATTCGCACACCCAAGGCTATTCAGAGCTTGTGTTCCTCCGGGAATGCATCGTTTCAGAGGGAACATATGGGATTTTGACAGCAAACCAAAAGTTATGCAGACCCTCGGATACCCCTTACCGATGAATGATAGAATCAAGGAGATAACTGAAGCAAGAAACATCGAACTTGGACTCGGGTTACAGGTACAAAAACTGTTACCCCTGGCTTTTTCATGTGATATGTTACTTTCCTTCTCTAACCTTCTTTCACTTCCCTCAAATTACACAGCTCTGCTTCTTGCATCCTTCGAAGCATAAGTTTGAACACCCACGGTTTTGTTTTGAGCGGCTGGAATACGTAGGACAGAAGATACAGGTGAGTATAACGATCTCTCATCTTAAAAGATCAAAAGAACAGTTCTTTTTTTATTAACCCGATTTTTTTGTCTCGGGATGATGCAGGACATAGCAATGGCTGAACGTTTGTTAATGAAGCACTTGGACGCACCAGGGAAGTGGTTGCAAGAGAAGCATCGGCGTCTATTAATGAACAAATTCTGCGGGCGGTATCTGAGAGAAAAACGTCTTCACAACTTTATAACATACTCAGAGGAGGTTCATGATCGGTATGAACATAACCGGAGACTTAGGAATCCGGCAACAACCGCTGTTCAACAAGCCATTCACGGCCTTGCCTACACCATCTACGGGAAACCTGATGTTCGGCGGCTCATGTTTGAGGTTTTCGACTTCGAACAAATCCAACCTAAAGCTGTCTGAAAATCAAAGTGTCTCTCTCATTTGTCTTAATGTCTTTTAGTATACTACTGGATTTGATTTATGTAGTTAAATACTTCATTACCTTTTGGTGAAATGTTGAAAACTTTTATAACTAAAAAAAAGGATAGAGCCAAAAAATAGAAAGAGAGAACAAAAACAGTATTGTCTTGGTCAAAAGTCCACTGCTTGTACCGGAGTTAAATGTACCTTCTTGTGGGTGCTTGTTTCTGACACAAAAAGTGAAGAAAGTAAGGGGAATGTTAAAGGCCGTTGCAGCAACTTGAGCAACCTTTGCAATGTGCAGTGGTGGAGAGAGTGGGAGTAATGTGTGATGGATCCTTGCACTTGAAAGTTCATCTCCTAAAGTGAAGAAAACATTAAAATAGGAAACTAGCAAAATGATTGGACAAATCTGTACCAATATTTCAGATGTGTAGAAGATATTTCAACTCACTTTGTTTGATTTCTTCAGCTGCTATTCTTTGAATCCAGTTTTCAGTTATATGCTCCAACCTGTAAAAATGGTTGCAGAACAAAATGAAGAGAAAATGTTTAGCATCTCAAAATCCAGATTCTAGTATTTTTTCAATTGTATCTAAAACACACACAACTTTCAGATTGAAGAAAATCTGAATTTCATTCTCAGCTGGGGCTAATATAAAAATGACAAAATTTTGTCTATAAGAACCTATTAGATAAGAGACCACAAAAATGATAAGAGAGAACAATAACAGTTTTGTCTTGGCCAATATCCAGATTCTAGTTTTTTTCTCAATTGTATCTAAAACAAACACAACTTTCAGATTTTGAAGAAAATGTTAATTGAAGTAGTTTTGTTTCATACCTTACACAAAAAGAACAAGTACAGTAATATATATTTTATAAGAAGAGGAGGAGGAGAGGAGCTACATGTCTACTATTTTTAGTTTTTTAGCCAATCAGAGAGCTCCACTTCATACCCCACTTTTACCGATCGCGTGATTTCAAACCCACTCTCACCCATCTCGCGTTGAGCGCGTGTCTACGATTTCTAAAGGGGTTTATCCACAGAAATCATGCCTTTTTTGGTCCACGCACCTCTTTCTCAAAATCCCATCGCGTGTCTTATTCTTTTTGGTTTTCTCCTCTAAACCAATATTAACCGAACTCAAATCAATTCTAATTTCAAAACCAATGTAAACCCATCGCTGTGACTGTGACGCCGCCGGCGAAAACCAAAAAACTCGGCGACCGTAACAACAAAAATGGAGACGACACAGAGGTACTACTTGGAAGAGAAATCAAATCACAAATAGCAACGAGAATGTTCGAAAACCCATCGCTTCCTTTGATTCCAACAACTTCCAAAAGCCCATCTGCTCAAATCTTCATTTCGAGGAGTATTACAAGGTACCTCTATACAATCAATGACACTTCCATGGCTTTTGAAACTTTGCTTCTAATAAACAACATTGTAATGTCTTCTTGTGTTGTGTTTAAGGAACAAAGGATAGTGAAAGCTGAAGAGTGGGATTCGTTTATGGAGTTTCTTCGTAAGCCATTACCTACTATAGTTTTTTGACTTCATAAGCCATTTTCAGAGTTACTTCCAAGTATGTATCCTTGGATTCTTGAATTGCTAAGTGTTACTATACTTCAAACTTTGAAGTTCAAAGTAAAAAGTTTTTTGACTTAGTGGTCTCTGTTTTTGATTCTTCAGTGGTCAATTTTGTGATTAGATTCGATTGAAATTGGAGAATGATTTCATGAAATCTCTTCAGGCTGAGGTAACTTCATGACTCTTCTTTTTTTCTAGTGTCTCATACATAATATGCTGTCTTTTGTCTACTCATATGTTGGTTTTTGTTTTCCATACTTACGGCTATAGAGGTGGTGAATTGGAGGCTATCAAGCCTTTGCCTTGGTACCTTAAGATTCTTGCTTGGCATTCTAATTTTTCACGCAAGGAGATTAGCAAAAACCAGATACTTGAGAGGTACTTTTTCATGCCAGTTGCTTCAGAACAAGTATTCACTTCCATTCGCTTACTTGTGTTAGCTCATGCTTTCTCCTAGTTATTTAGCCTTTTTTTTATCGGGGTCTTATTCAGGTTTCATGAGTTTCTCAAGTTAGAAACTGAAGTTGGGAACATGACCAGGCAAGAATCAGTTAGCTTGGTATGGTAGTGTGACATTCTTTAATGACAATTCATCGGTACATTTTATAGTTTTCCTAGTCGATTTTATTATTACGCATGTACCTCCTCTCTTCCTTGATGTACATCCAGATCATTTTGTTCTCAACAGTGAGTGATTTTTATTCGACATTGTTTGAGATGGCTGTGGACTTGAGGAATAATGGTTAACTGATTCACTTCTCTCTTTTTGTCTGAACAGTGTGTGCTGCACCTGGTTCCAAGACATTTCAGCTTCTTGAAATAATCCATGAATCATCAGAACCAGGATCTCTACCTAATGGAACGGTTTGTAATACTCTAACATCTTTACTCATTTTTCGTTGATAGATCATGTTTTGTTTCTAATTTTTGTTTGGTTGAAAAGATCCAACCTTCTTATTCACCAAACGAAAAGAACATGTACCACCAACATGATGGTCGCTAACAACGCAGGTCAACATTTCCCCATCTGCAACACCAAGAGAACCTTGTCCGTAGCATCTGAGATTAATCCCCAAAAACCCATCGCGTTGACCTCTTTGCTGCAGCCAAGAAACACCTCCAGTTCCTCGGAGCTGTTGATCGCAACCGTTGTCTCTACAATGGCCCTGCACTCCAAAGAGTCATCTACAGGTTTAATCACCAATTCGTTAATATACTCAATTCACGAATCTAAGTTAGCGTTCGTGTTTCAAAACTCTCAAATTTGGATGATTTTTTTTTACAGATACATTGCTTACTGACTTCCCTTGCTTGCTCAATACACCGAGTCTTCTTTGATGAATGCGTTTGGCATTGCCACAGGCTTAATCCGGTAAACTAATATCGATATTTCAAATCGGGTTTAAATTCTTTGTTGGATTGCATACAAGCTCAAAATGTTGTTAATCATATCAGGTGAGGTACAAGACTGACTGTGAGCAATTCTATGGGAGAGTTCTCGACAATTCTGGCGTTGTATCTTCCGTAAATGGAAACTGCATATCACAAACTGATACTCTATGGAAAAGATTGTATCCTATGGAGCCTTATGACCTTTATTTTTGGACAAGGCAATCTCAGAGCCAGCAAATATCTCAGCTCTTGAGAAATTAACCACTTATGATCTTGTTTCAGCTGTCAAGAGACAAAGCCCATTTTACTACCAGGTAAAATCATTGTCAGCCTCTTGTCCCAAACCACTTTGTTGTAAGGTTTTGTAATATTTGACTTTGTTTGTGTCTCTTTGTTGCATGTTTCAAGAGCTCATGTAGATAATGATGTCTTTCTGCAAGAAACTGTGGCTATATACAAAGCATTTCTCTACTTGATCAAGATAAACCGAGAAAGTTCGATCAAACTTTTCTGTGTTCTGACTTACGATATTGATCTTATCTGGCACACACATAAGCATTACGCTCTCTCTTTTTGCAATGATTTGACTAAGATGATTGGTAAGGTCAAGCTGAAGGGCTTACAACAGTCTGATCGGGTTTTGGAGCTGTAAATTTTCCCTACAGTTATTGTTTGTAATAGATTGATGCAGAGTTCATAAATTAAGGAGTTTATTTGTCTGAACTTCTTTACTTCTTTGAAAGGAGAGCGTTCTCTATGCAGAATGGGCATCCTACACATATTTCATAGATCTCAATTGATGGATAGATTTATGCTTTGGGGACATCTTTACTCTGTTTGGTTATGGGATGTGCAGTTTAAAGCGGAATGGTTTATTAGATGAAAATGTCTCTGATATCTCTTGTTAAATTTTGTCTCTATTGTAAGTTTGTAACTGTGAACTAGTCATTCTAACTTCCCTATTTTTCCTTTGTTTTATCTGCAGTCTCTACAAAGTGTCGTTTTCAAGGAGGTATAATCATGCCCATGTTCTCTTGTACACTTTGAATACTTGCAGCGTTATCATCATTTGTTTACTTTTACGACAAGGAATAGTGATTAGCTTGTTTACAGGCGGGCAAGAAAGATCCTGTCACGATGATGATCAGCATATTCTTGCAGTTCTTTGATATAGGAGTAGATGCGGCACTGCTCTCACAAGTTTGCGTAAGTTACAACATGTCTTCCAGATGAAAAGCTATAGGATTAATTTTTCACACTAATATTCTTTCTACTTTCATAAGGCCTTTGATGGGATGAGAATTTTGTCATTTCTCAAAGTATCTTGTGTAGGTCTGATTCTCTCTCTCTGTCTTTATTATTTTCAGTATATTTCCCTGTTATTTATTGGGATGTTGATCGTGATATCAGTGAAGGGATTCTTGACAAATCTGATGAAAGTGAGTTCTGATTTTAGCTTTTAAATTTCTTCCATTCGTCTTATACGATCTTGTTATCCACTTATTTTGGAGCTGTAGACAGTGTTGATGAAAAATTTGCTCTAGCATTAACATGTTTGATATATTAGACGGAGTCTTTCACTTCTTTTAGCTGGTGCTAACTTTCCTTGTGACGGTCACATAGTTTTAAGCAAATGTGGAGTGATTGAATTAAGTATTTTCTGCAGTAGCATTACGGAACTACTCAATGTGATCATAAAAACAATTTCTCAAGTGATGACTAATTTCTTGTTTGGCATTAGTCTGGTGATTTTACATTTTAGTAAATCAGAACTCGCAATATACTGAAAGCTTTTGGTTTGTGCAACTAGAGAGATGGCTGCCGGGGAAATTCGATATAGCTGGACATAGCCATCGGTTGTTTCATGTTCTGGTGGTTGCTGGTGTGTCCACGCAATATAGATCTAGGCTTGTGTATCTTAAGTGGAGAGACTTTGAAGAATGTTGATGAAGATTGAAGATTAGATGGAATCTTTGATGTTTTAAATCTTGTTTGTAGCTTCATATAAAAGTTGGATTACTGACGAGTGATATCTAGTGTGTTATTGTCTTGTCTTAAGATTTGCTTAAAGAAATTTTGATACTTTTTGTTTGATTTTGATATATGATGATTAGTGTGTTGTTGCATTGGTCAGCATAAACTGCTTCATATTCTTGCTCACTTTGAAGCTAGAGATTGTTCAATACGATTGGAATGGGATTCGAGTTGAAACTATTCTTGGAAAAGGTAAGTTTTGATTTGCTATAACGCAGAATGGCTTGAGTCAACAAAGTTGCTGATTTGAAGAAACATATAACTTTGTAATTTTACATGTATTGGAGACTGGAAGCAACTCACATAGTTGAAAACTAAGCTTTGGGCAGAAATCTGAATTTACAAATGGAGCTGAAAACTCGTCGAAACAAGCCATCCTGATATGCTCTGGAGTGGCTGGAGGGAACCAGTTGGTGAGTACTACCTCGCTTGTGGCCGCTTCCTTTATCACGATGCTGAAAGAAAGAACGGTGGCTCACCCACTGCTTTAGATGAATGTATTGCCTGTTTATTCGGATTCCCCTGATTAAACAAAGTATAATCTCAGGTTCATCAGTTGCAAATGTGTTGCTACCAATTTAAAGAGCTTCTTCTTATGGTAGCATACTTTGAGAAGAGAAACATTGAGTTCGAATGGAATGTCGTTAATGGAAGGTATTTTGTAGTTTCCAGGTCCGCAAGTGAGTAAAGCTCCTGGTATACTCCATGTATGAGCTGCATCTCCCCACTTGAGCTCTTCTAAAGCTACCCAACCTAGTCCTTGTACAAACGCTCCTTGTAGCAAATGGTGGATTTCAAACACAACACTTCTCTTTCTGATTCTCTTGGATTTTAAAGATTTCAAAAGGCCAACTAACAGCTAAACTCCTAGGACTTTGAGAGAAGAATGCGCACTTGTCCAATATCAATGGCTGGGTTAAGAGAAAAGGAGAGTTTTGTTCATCAAAATCTTGTGAGTTTATATCAAATTGCAAGAAGAAAGAAAGAATACCTCAGGGAATGTGTTGAAATTGTGTTAAGATGCAACAGGCTCCATTCTTGCTATAATATGCTCACAAGCGTCTAAAACTGCAGCACCATACATATCAGAGGCAATCAAAACGACCAGAGAGCAATAACAGGTTTTGAGGCATTTGGAACCTATTAAGAGAGCAACTTGAGCAACCTTTGCAATGTGCAGTGGTGAAGAGAGTGGGAGTAATGTGTGATGGAAAACATTAAAGTTCATCTCCTAAAGTGAAGAAAACATTAAAATAGGAAACTAGCATAATGATTGGACAAATCTGTACCAATATTTCAGATGTGTAGATGATATTTCAACTCACTTTGTTTGATTTCTTCAGCTTCTATTCTTTGAATCCAGTTTTCAGTTATATGCTCCAACCTGTAAAAACGGTTGCAGAACAAAATGATGAAATTTTTTTTAGTATCTCAAAATACAGATTCTAGTTTTTTTCTCAATTGTATCTAAAACAAACACAACTTTCAGATTTTGAAGAAAATGTTAATTGAAGTAGTTTTGTTTCATACCTTACACAAAAAGAACAAGTACAGTAATATATATTTTATAAGAAGAGGAGGAGGAGAGGAGCTACATGTCTACTATTTTTAGTTTTTTAGCCAATCAGCGAGCTCCACTTCATACCCCACTTTTACCGATCGCGTGATTTCACACCCACTCTCACCCATCTCGCGTTGAGCGCGTGTCTCCGATTTCTAAAGGGGTTTATCCACAGAAATCATGCCTTTTTTGGTCCACGCACCTCTTTCTCAAAATCCCATCGCGTGTCTTATTTTTTTTGGTTTTCTCCTTTAAACCAATATTAACCGAACTCAAATCAATTCTGATTTCAAAACCAATGTAAACCCATAAAAACCCAGAGGTACTACTTGGAAGAGAAATCAAATCGAAAATAGCCAAGAGAATGTTGAAAACCCCTCAAATCCGATGCTTCCTTTGATTCCAAGCTCCAAAACAAGTATTATTAAAGAAGCAAGCATTTGGGTGTTATGATTAGAGAAGAAGCAAGTAATGCAAGAACCGATCACAGTACTAGTCAGAAAGCAAAATTCAAAGAACAAGGTGGCTTTGAGAGCAGTCATATCAAGCAAAAGAACTATGGCGATCACCAGTTATCATCATGCCCACATCTCTGTCCAGTATCATCATGCCCACATCTCTGTCCAGTATGAATTCATTGCTGCTGCAGCTTCTGTTAATAACGAATTCATTGACATGATAAACCCGAGAGAGTACAAAAAAACCCACATTGGGAACCATGAGATGATGACAAAGACTCCTGAGAGAATCAATATCATAACAGTGACAAAGAATCTCCAGAACCTGAAAGAAGTAAATCTTACCCAACTCCCTCAATGGATATTACATGCATCCCTCCCTTCTTGGAGAAATGATGATGGTGCGTTTATGCCGGATGTTGCTACAATTCTCACGAGCTAGCTAGACCATCAAGGACTCCAATTCTTCCTAGTTTAAAAATGGCTATATTCACTTGTTCTGTTAAAAAAATAAAAAAGTTTCTTAGATCTGCAATTTTTAACAAGGCAATGGAAAACATTTTTAGTTAAAATTATTTTACTTTTTAACTAACATTTTTTTATTTATTTTTATTCTATATTCTTTAACAGTCAATAAAAAGAAGAAGTGGGCCGTTGTGACTTTAACATCCCAAAAGTGAAAAGCCCGATTGGCTTAAAGTCTTAACACAGGCCCACGACCTCTCATTTTTCAAACAAAATCAGACCGTTGGGGGTTCTTTTTTTTTTCCCTTATAAACGGCTCATCTTCCTCAAGAAGCCTCCTTTATACAAGACGCCCCCACTACTTTAGTCTTTTTCTACTACAAACCTGAGATTTTTAGTCTGAGAGAGAAAGAGAAGACGAAGAGAGAAGATAACACAAACAAGATGATGACTTCTTGTTCGCTTGTTCCTCAACAATCTACCGGTAAGAGAAAGATCTTTGATTTTTCCTTTTTTTAGGGTTTTTACGGACAAAGATTGATTTTTTTTTTCGTGATCTTCGATTTCCGTTTTTATCTGGTTTTTTTCGTTTCTTGTAATATCTATGAATAACGAAACGAAACTGTTGCGAATCAAGTTTAAAAGTCCGTGACTTTGACTGTAGTTTTTCTTAATTTGATATGGCTGATTGTTGCAAATTGAATCTAAAGTTGTGAACTTTGGTTTTGTTTTGTTGTGTAGAAGATGATGTTGTTGTGGTAGATGGCAAAAACGTTGCGAAAGGAAGAAACCGTCAAGTTCTTGGTGATATAGGTAATGTTGTTCGAGGAAATTACCCAAAGAACAACGAACCGGCAAAGATCAATCATCGTCCTCGTACACGCTCTCAAAATGCCACACTTCTTGTGGAGGATAATCTCAAAGTTTGTTCCTTTTTCCCTGCCTTTTGGTGAACAATTAGGTTTCTTTGTTAGATTTGATATACTCATGTCATACCTTTATCTCTTTGACCTGCAGAATCCTGTAGTCAAGAGAATCGCAGTACCAAAGCCAAAGAAAGTAGCTGGGAAATCAAAGGTTATAGAAGTGATTGAGATAAGTTCAGACAGTGATGAAGAACTTGGTATAGTTGCTGTTCGAGAGAAAAAGGCTACTAAGAAGAAAGCAACCACTTACACATCTGTTCTCACCGCTAGAAGCAAGGTACATTTTACTTGTGAAATGATGATTCTTGATGTGAAGTAAGAAAATGATTTGGTATGTTCTGAATTTTCTTCTTTTGCTTTTTCAGGCTGCTTGTGGTTTAGAGAAGAAACAGAAAGAAAAGATTGTTGATATCGATTCTGCTGATGTTAAGAATGACCTTGCGGCTGTGGAATATGTGGAAGATATCTACAGTTTCTACAAGTCTGTTGAGGTTTGATGCTACTATTCATGAATCTTTACTTGCACCATTGTTGTAGTGTGAACTTGTTTACTTAAGTTATCATTTGGATTGGCAGAGTGAATGGAGGCCACGCGATTACATGGGATCTCAGCCTGAGATTAATGAAAAGATGAGACTGATTCTGGTGGAATGGTTGATAGATGTCCATGTCAAATTCGAGCTAAACCCGGAAACATTTTACCTCACTGTGAACATTCTGGATCGCTTCTTGTCGGTGAAGCCAGTGCCTCGAAAAGAATTGCAGCTAGTTGGTCTCAGTGCTCTTCTCATGTCATCCAAGTACGAAGAAATTTGGCCACCACAGGTGATAAGAAACAGAGAACTTTTGAACCTTCTGAATTTGATTCTTCTTGTCTTCAGCTAAATCAAAACATAATTCTTCTGCAGGTGGAAGATCTAGCTGATATTGCAGACCATGCATACAGTCACAAACAGATTCTGGTGATGGAGAAGACAATACTGTCTGCACTTGAGTGGTACTTGACAGTTCCGACTCATTATGTCTTCCTGGCTCGTTTCATCAAAGCTTCCATTGCAGACGAAAAGGTAAGAGAGCATTTTTCTAGTCTCTTCCATGGTTTTACATTACATTATATTGCACATTCAAGTGTTTTTTTTTGTCTTCAGATGGAGAATATGGTGCACTATTTGGCAGAGTTAGGCGTAATGCATTACGATACAATGATAATGTTCAGTCCATCTATGGTAGCTGCTTCTGCAATCTACGCAGCAAGATCTTCTCTTCGCCAAGTTCCCATTTGGACCAACACTCTCAAGCATCACACTGGCTATTCCGAGACCCAGCTCATGTAAGAAAGTTCCTTTCTTTTTTCATTTGCATCATATGGGTTTTGTGTCTGTGGTTGGATATTGATTCTTTTGTAATGATGAAACAGGGACTGTGCAAAGCTGTTGGCGTATCAGCAATGGAAACAACAACAAGAAGGGAGTGAGAGTAGTACTACTACTAAGGGAGCTTTACAAAAGAAATACTCCAAGGATGAACGCTTTGCTGTGGCTTTGATCCCTCCGGCCAAAGCTTTGTTGACCGGAACTGAATCTGCCTAGGAGCTGGGAGCCTTTAAGAAGACGGAGAAGCTGAAGAACCAAGTCTAGTTTCATTTTCCTTCTGAAAATCAAGTCAAGTTTCATTAGATAATAATATTTTGTACAAGTCTAATGAGTCGCTTTGAAACCAAGTTCTTTAGCATAATTTATTCCCCAACACAAAGCATATGTTTCACTATATCTTGTGAGAAGTCAGTTTCTTCTGAGAAGTTTCATTAGATATAATATTTTTTACAAGTCTATGAATTACTTTGAAATCAAGTTCTATAGTACACATGATCTAAAACTAGCATGATTCATTCCCCAACACACATCATATGTTTCACTAGTTCTTGTGAGAAGTCAGTTTCTTCTTGTCCCGTCCATTCTGGGTTTAAAACCACCTTCTGGTCTGAAAACTTGACTCTGTTGGTGGGAAAGAGAACCCACTTGATATTTACAGATCCTGCGGTTGCGAACCTTGAAAGAAGACACTAAAGAGAGTTACCAACCTTTGGAGAAGCTTTGTTCACCACAACCTCAGACATGGAAGTGCTTGTATCCATTCGGAAATTGAAAAGCCAATCATCTTTGGATCTTCACTCAGAAAGGGAGAAGGTTAACCACGTTAAGTTCCAAGGCCCTTTCTTCTAACCAATTCTCTACACCAATCCAACGTTTTAGATAGCTGTGCCTCGATGACCTCCAACATTGACCGTTTCCTTCTCTTTTCATCTTCAAGATCAAGAGTTCGATATGCTAGTGTAAGCAAGTAGATACCAGGGTGCAGTCTCCTGTAGAAGGCAAAAGGTCATATATAAGTTAATTACTTCACAAACAACAACTAATACAGAGACGAGCCCCTTTCTCCAAGGTCATTGGAAAGAGAGGTAAGCAGACTCAAGATGACTAAGAAACAATGTGGTCAACGCCAAGGTTACAAAAATATCTTGATCGGAAGTGATTTCTATCGAAATAGCTGTAGCCCTCCTCATTTTAAGCTATAACCAGTAGAATATCTTAAGTTGCTTTCTCTTCATATGTATAATAAGCTTACCCATCCAGTCTACTCCCCTCTTCCAGTCCATCCCAAAATCTTTGTGCCAAGACCGTCCTGCTCTTTTTATCTTTCCCATAAGTTTCAACATACCATCCTCCGACATCATGCAAACCACAACGAGGCTCAAACAACCAAAACCTGTTTTCACATCCATGCAATTATGGTTTTATGTCACTGAGGTAAGAAGGATAAAGGCTACGTTAGAGATCAGTGTCATAAGTTCAAAACATCTTCAATACCAAGATCACTGACTACTTCAGTATTTCAACAAAGGCAACTACAGAATTCTGTGTTCAAGATATCAATTTATTAAATTGCATTCTATTGAAGATGAAACCGTGACACAGCTGTCCAATCCTTGTTATTTATTCGATAGAGTTAAAAGTGAGCCAGAACTGAAATAAAGCAAAAAGAATATTTGGCTTACTTGCTTGGTGGTAATTTCGCTCTACTGCATCTACACTCGCAAATGGAAACCTTTTCCCCAATTCTGTACCAGTGCAAATGTCTCACCTGTAGAGTGTGGATGAGGATTTTTCAGGCATGCTTATTCCATCAAATAACTAGCAGAGCTTATCTATATGCATCACAGAACAATGCCCCGAAAAAAGTACATGTTGTAATTTGCAGAAGGTACATGAAAAGAAATGCAAGATCATACGAGTCACAAACCAGAAATGTCCTATGTTTCATTATCACGTGAGTTTTAGCACCATTCCCATCATAGACATTACATGAACCTTCATCTGGACTTGTTCCAAGACCACTTATAGTTCCAACAAGAAGTCTGGCTCCACTTTCATTTCCAGGTAACGTTTCAGTTTCATGCTTAGATCTTTCATCTGAATTGAGGAAAACGTGTATGAGATCGTGATCACCCTCAATTTGTTTCTTTTCAAAATACCCTTTTGGGGGAATCCTAATAGCTGTAGCAACAACTCTTCCCGAAACATGCAGCTGAATATCTTTATATGCATCCAAAACATGGTTTTTACTTCTAGAAGATTGTATATGAGATATCTGAAGTCCAATCCTTTCATCAGACATCGTGTCATAGTTGCCTTTCTCAAGTGCCTGACCCAGGTCCGAATCCATAAATGACGACAAAGCCAATTTCTTGGAGCAAGCAGAAGAAAGCTCAAGGAAATTATCAACCAAGCAAACCATACCAAAAAGATCCCGTCCTGAAACCAAATGCAAAACCTCTCGTGTATCACACACAGACCTTTCCTCAGCTTCAAAACAATCAGGAAGAAGCTCCACAGATTCAACATCAGGCCCAAAGTACGCGGCTCGTATAGCCGAATAAAAATCTTCTTCCAATTCATCTAAGTAACCTGTACCATTTGCCACTCTCTTCTCCAATACTATATCATGTATTGCTTCTCTATACCACTTTAACCATTCAACTACTTCCATCTCTTGACTCAATGTCAATCGTGTTTTATACCTGTGAATCATATACCCTTGTCTACATTGTTTCGTCATTACCATTCTCCGAGATAGCAAATATCTATCATAGTGTGCTCTCTTTGCAGAATCTGAAAGAATCTGCATCATCACCACAAATCATATATCATTCATCAGACACTTCACTTAAGCTATTCACCAAATCAAGCTTTCTTCTCTGTACCTCATAAGCAGCGAGAATCTGAACGAAGCGTATGGAATTAGATGGATCTTTCTTAGATTCGATCAGATCAGGATGAGTCTCTTTCGCGAGTCTACGAAATGATGCTTTGATCTCTGCGATTGAGCTGGTTTCGGAGACATTCAAGATAACGTACGCGTTCTCCACCGGAAACTCGTTCCGATTCGACTCAGCCTCGCCGCTCAGCAACCGAGTACTTTGGCTCCGTACGAATCCGTAATTCAATTGAAACGGAATCGTAACCGGAACCAATCTACTAAAACGCCGTCGTATCAATCCGGCGAGAATCGTCATGTCACCAAGAAGTTCTCTCAGGTGGGAACGGAAGCAGGAAGGGGAAGGGTAACGGCACGCCGACAACACGTGGTTTAACGATTTCCCGCCACGTCATCACGAGCTTTGGTCAACAGTAAAAACGGTCTTACGGAAGAGATGAGCCAAATTAATCTAACTGGGCCTTAAATTTTTAATGGGCCTTGTCCTTTTTTCCCAGATATACTAAGGGCATCCGGTATCCTTGCGTATCCGGTATCCTTGCGTGGGGTGTATCTATTTTAAAATACAGAAATAATGTAAAAGTTGTCTCTCTCTTCACATCCGGGTGTAAGTTTATACTCGGGTGTAAGCCACTCTATCTCTCTCTTTCTTTCTTTCTTTTTTCTCTCTCACTTTAAATTATAATAATAAAAAAAATCTTACACTCCTCTTTCACACTTAAGACCATCCGCAGTGGTGTAAGTGTGAGGGAGGGGTGTAAGATTTTTTTTATTATTATAATTTAAAGTGAGAGAGAAAAGAGAGAGAAAGAAAGAGAGATAGAGTGGCTTACACCCGAGTGTAACTTACACCCGGGTGTGAAGAGAGAGACAACTTTTACATTATTTCTGTATTTTAAAATAGATACACCCCACACAAGGATACACCACTGCGGATGCTCTAACACCACTGCGGATGGTCTAAGAGCATTGGCAAAAGCTGCTTGTATGGGTGTAACAATTTTTTTATTGTTATCATTTAAAGCAAAAGAGAAAAAAAAAAGAAAAAAAAAAAGAGAGAGAGAAAGAGGCCACGTAACCCTTGCAACCGATTGTAACTTAAGATTCGGATGTACATAAAAGTGGACTATTCTGATTATTTCTCAATTTTAAATTACTCACACCCCATGTTCGGCTATACCACTGCGTGTGGTCTAACTTAATTATGGTGAAGTGAGATTGTACGTGGGCGTATACTCACCATGGCCTTCTATGAATAATTATTTTGGCTGAAAATATTTATAAACTATATTCAATGATTGAAACTAATTTTCTTTCACAGAAATGCATGTAATTTGTTACGTATGAATCATTATGCATAAAGACATTAATTATTTTTGGGCTTGATTCCAAAATGTTTTTTTTACTAATTATCAAATGATGTTTGACAATCCAACAAACAGTCACTTTCTTTTTCCAACTATAAATCGCAATATTTCAAATAAAAATAAATGCCAGCATTTAATTACCTCACACACACACGCACAAAAAAAAAAAAAAGAGAAGAGATTTTTATTGATTTTTTTTTTTTAAATACCAAGCACTTTAAAACAACACAAATATCATAAGTTTTCAATTAGCTGGTTAAGAGATATAACAAGAAAAAAAAAAAAAAACCAGAGAAGAATCTTTAAAGAGATGGGTGTGGTAGAGGAAGCTCACAACGTGAAGGTGATTGGTTCAGGAGATCAAGCCACGATCGTGTTAGGTCACGGGTTCGGCACGGACCAGTCAGTATGGAAACACCTGGTTCCACATCTGGTCGACGATTACCGCATCGTGCTTTACGACAACATGGGAGCCGGTACGACAAACCCTGACTATTTTGACTTCGATCGTTACTCGAATCTCGAAGGTTACTCTTTCGATTTGATTGCAATCTTAGAAGATCTCAAGATTGAGTCTTGTATCTTTGTTGGTCACTCTGTTTCTGCCATGATTGGTATCTTGGCTTCTCTTAACCGTCCTGATCTCTTCTCCAAAATCGTCATGATTTCTGCTTCTCCAAGGTACTCATCATCATCTCTTTTTCTCGATTAATCATAGAAATCTTTTTTGCTTTTTATCTCATTCTGACATAATTTAGACAGAAGGGTCTCTCTGTTCCTTCTCTTGTCTGATTTCATAAAATCTATTTAAATATTAAGATATTTTGTTTTAAATATTATCTCTACTTTTCTATTATCTCGGGTGAAGATTCATAGAGATTTTTTTTGCATATTTATTTCTCACTCTGACATAATTTCGACGAAGTGCCTCTCTGTTCCTTCTCTTGCCTGAGTCATCCTATTTCTCAAAATCAATAAAGCATTTTTGTTATATATAAAATCTGTTAATTTTAATCAGAAAACCTAGAAATTTGTTTATTTGATTTTACTGAGGTTTTGCTTACACTTTTTTTTTTTTTATTGATAACGGTGCTCACATAGTATTATTTTAATTGATAACGGTGCTCACAAATATCCATTTGTTTATGTTAATTTTATATTGTTTTGGTACGTTTATAGATACTTAAACGATGTTGATTACCAAGGTGGATTCGAACAAGAAGACTTGAACCAACTCTTTGAAGCGATCCGAAGCAACTACAAAGCATGGTGCTTAGGTTTCGCTCCACTCGCCGTCGGTGGAGACTTAGACTTAATCGCCGTTCAAGAATTCAGCAGAACACTCTTCAACATGCGTCCCGACATTGCTCTTTCTGTTGCTCAGACCATTTTCCAAAGTGACATGAGACAGATCTTACCTTATGTCTCTGTTCCTTGTCACATTCTTCAAAGTATTAAGGACTTAGCCGTACCAGTCGTCGTCTCCGAGTATCTTCACGCCAATCTTGGATCTGAATCCGTCGTTGAAGTTATTCCTTCTGATGGTCATCTTCCTCAGCTTAGCTCACCGGATACTGTTATTCCCGTTATCCTCCGTCACATTCGTAATGACATTGCTGTGTGATTGTGAGAAATGTAGTTAATTAGTTAATTAAAGGATGTCTGAAAATTGAAAATAAATTTCTGATGTGATATGTCTGTCTATTGAGAACAATGTTTCGTTGTCGTTTGGTTCTGATTCGTTTGTCTTGAGTATTTGATCTTTTGTTGTTCTGATCTTGTTAAACGAAAAGTCTCTTGTCTTTTGTCCAGCTTTGCTCGAGAGCTCATTATTGCTCGATGTAATAGTGATGTTCGTAACTGATGGTCCATAGTGAATTATTGCAACTTTGCAAGTGTACTTGTGCTATAATATGTGTGAGTAGCGAATATTAACATGCGACATATACTATGAATTAGCATTAGCATTGAGTTAGCTGGTTTCTTCGGCCTGGACAGAGTTTTGTCGAATCATAAATCATATATATTGTGATGGTTTAAAATTTGCCTATTTATGAAAAAAAAAGTAATAAGTTCTAAACAAACTAAAATAAATTTTAGGGTTTTTCAATCAGGATGGAGTTAAGTCAGATTTTGTTCGGTTTGTTTGTCTATGAAATTATGAATTTGTTTGATGTTATTATAGCCTTTTTCGTCATTTGATGTTATTATGACTACGCGGTGGAAAAGATATTGTTTTCTATGTTATCATTTATCATTTATCATTAATAATATTCAATTTTATTGACGAGGTGCCGTCTGTTCAGATTTTTTTCGGTTTGTTAGTTTATGAAATTAATGATTTATTGGTATTGCTATAATATTATTTCTTCATACTAGTCAATATACTATGAATCTATGATTAATCTTCCAATTTTTGAACTTCATCGCATTGATAGAATTTAAATGTTTACATAGTCATGAGAGAATTGAGAACATATATAAAATTCAATGTTGTTCTCAATGCAAACTTTTTAGACTTTCTTGGCAAGATACTTAATTAGCTAGCCCATTGTAAGAGAGTAATAATAAATGGGCTAGGCCCAAACTTTTGCCAAAGTCACGTGACGAGAAACTTCACACGTGTGCAACTCCTAGCCCCAAAATTTGATTAGCACAGCACCAGCACAATCACCACCACCACCAGTATCACATTCACCATCTTCTCTCTTATCTCTCCGTTACTTTTTTTATTTACTCTCTCTCTCTCTCTCTCTCTTCCCCGTTACTTTTTTTTTCTTCCCCGTTTCGTTCTCCGTCAAAGTCTTCTCTCTCTGCCATTTTCTCCACTGTAATTTCCCTTTTTACCCCTAAACCCATCGTTCCCGTGACTCGACGGCCACGAAGAAGAGGGATAAAATTGAGAACGATTAAACAGGCGATTGATTTCTCCACCGCTCAAAAATGGCGACGGCGACATCGGAACGAGTCGAGTTAGCCAAGCACTGCAGTTCACGGAACTGGTCTAAAGCGATCCGAGTTCTCGATTCGCTCCTTGCTAAGCAGTCTTCAATTTTGGATATATGGTTTGTTTCGCGATCTTTCTTCTCTCATCATTTTCTGTGGATCGGTATCATTGTTAATCAATTGGGAATTTTTGGTTTCAGCAATAGAGCGTTTTGTTATAATCAATTGGAGCTTCACAAGCATGTGATTAAGGACTGTGACAAGGCACTTCTGCTTGAACCTTGTGCCATTCAAGCTTTTATTCTCAAAGGTTAGTTCACTTCCAAGCTTGAGTCTAATTCGCGGGATGGCTTTCTTAGGGGTTTAGTTAATGCTAGTGCCTGCTAGTTATGATGATATAATGGTTGCTTAAGAATATCGATAATCTTAAGTTTTGAATAGTGCTGGTTTTTGTTGATATACCTTATCAACAAACGGGGATGGAATTTCGATGGTTACCGAATCATGGTGACTGGTGAAGACGTTTTTTCTTTGATTGGTATACTGCCTGTGAACTCAGCTTTTCCATTTAGGACGCGCTCTTTTGGCTTTGGGGAGAAAACAGGAAGCTGTTCTTGTTTTGGAGCAAGGATATAAAAATGCTTTGCAGCAGACAGCAGATGTGAAGCAGTTACTTGAATTAGAAGAACTCCTCACAGATGCAAGACGAGAAATTGACGCCACCGAGTCTCGGCAAGAGACCCCTGCCTCTCATAGTGAGAAGTCTGATGAAAAAACTGACAAGCTGGACAACCATGAATCAGGAGCATGTAGCAATGGGAACTCCCATGACCACGAGGCATCTAGGGAATTGGGTGAGAAATCAAAGATTATAAGCTTTTCAAAAGATACATCCAAGGCAAGCAAGCAATCTGATGGTAGTTCCGACTTATGTAATGGATCAGCGTACAAGGAAAAAGAGAATGGAAAGTGTGGCAGCCAAATCAATGGTTCTTATGAATCATGTAAACCATGTAATGGTTCTGATTTGCATGATAATTTAGCTGAAAGTTCCGATCGGTTAGGGGACCTGTCGATTAATGGAAACAAGTTAATTATTAAGTCTAGCAAAATGAGCCATAAAGCTGAGGCACGTTGCGATGAAACCAGGAAAAATAAGAAGTACACCATAGCAAGAATATCAGGAACCCATTCTATAAGTGTGGATTTTCGACTTTCTAGAGGCATTGCACAGGTATAGCAATACACATAAAAAAATAAGAAAAGAGCTATAAGGTACAGCTTCCAAATTCTTGATGACTGAGCTCCTTTCTTGTCAACAGGTGAATGAAGGAAACTATATGAAAGCTATTTCTATTTTTGATAAGGTGATTTGGTGGTCTTTATCTCTTGAGAGTGTCTCTTGCTTATTTTTTTTTTCTCTGTTTATCTTCTTCTCCGAGGTTGTTTGGCGAAAAATTGTTGTCAGATTTTTTACTATTTATTTTATCTTTGTGCAGGTGCTGAAAGAAGAACCTACTTACCCTGAGGCACTTATAGGAAGAGGAACAGCTTATGCATTCCAACGAGAGCTTGAAAGCGCTATCGCTGATTTTACTAAGGTATTCATATATTTGACAAGAGTTGTTACCACTGTGGGTTAAGTTCACCAATTCTGCTCCTATGATGATGATGGTTAGGCTATCCAATCTAACCCAGCAGCAACTGAGGCCTGGAAGCGGAGAGGACAGGCTCGTGCTGCTCTTGGGGAATATGTTGAGGTTAGTGGTTCCATTCGCTGCTTCTGTTCTTTATTCAGAGCTAAAAGCATAAACAATAAATGTACTTTACGAGGCTTGTTACTAATGTTCGCCCTGCACATTTATTGAATATTGATTAATAAATAATATTGTCTGATCGATATCCAATAATTTGGATAAGCCGCTGATTGATGTCTGTGTTTAAGCCTGTTTAGTGCTTGCATTTTATTGGTAAAATCCAGAAACGTTTCTTGTACAACACTTTTATTTAAACTACCCTTTGGTGATAGGCGGTTGAAGATTTGACTAAAGCACTTGTTTTTGAGCCAAACTCACCTGATGTATTGCACGAAAGGGGTAAGTGTCTCTATTCAGTGTTTCTTTTTAAATCTTGCGCCCGATTTCAGTTTTCATTTCTTAATACATGATTTCTTTGGTGAAAAACCATAAAGTACTAACTGACATTCACAATCAATTCAGGTATTGTTAATTTCAAATCTAAGGACTTCACTGCTGCTGTAAAGGACCTGTCTATATGTCTGAAGCAAGAGAAAGATAACAAGTCTGCATATACTTATTTGGTAAGACTATTCTCTGTTGTTATTCTTGGTTTCTAAAGTAACCATGAACGCAAATGTTTTCTTAGTAAAACTTGGTTGATCTCTCCAGGGACTAGCATTTGCTTCTCTTGGTGAATATAAAAAAGCTGAAGAGGCGCATTTGAAGTCCATCCAACTGGATAGTAATTATCTTGAAGCATGGCTTCATCTCGCCCAGGTAACACGCAAATAATAAAATAAACAGTATGAGATTATGCTTTGTCTGTTGAATTTTCAACTATTAAGCTGAACTGTGATGAAGATAGGATTTTAAGCATTGTTTGTGATGGTGAATAAACAAAGTTAGTTTTATGTAAAGCTAGTGAGACTTCAAAATGAAGAAAGCTTAAATTTTGACTTTTGAAGGCAAATAATTAAGGTTTTCCTGAAGTAGTGTCTTATTTCTCTTTAATTTAGGTTGTTCATCCTAGTCTAATGCTTGAATCAGTTGCCTATGATACACTCGTACTTTTTGTTCACTGTACTCGATGGTTGTCCTGACGTTTCCTTGCAGTTCTATCAAGAGTTGGCCGACCACTGCAAGGCTTTGGAATGCATTGAGCAGGTTCTACAGGTCGACAACAGGTAGGTCTTATTTGGGATGCAGTACCACATGTTGCACTATATTTCTGCTTTTCCATCGTACTCATGGCAATTTTCCTGTCTTGACCAGGGTTTGGAAGGCCTATCACTTGCGTGGACTAGTGTTCCATGGATTAGGTGAACACAGGTGTGTATCGTTAGTGTAAACTAGGATTGTTGGAAAGTGAATTTGGTTTAAAGGGGAAAATATGTCTATGTTGATGTGCATCTTACCTAAAATGTTCATGAGTGATACAAGTATATCTCAATGTCTACTTTAAAATATGATATCCGATAAGATTTACTTCTCCTGACTCTTGGTGATAAAGATCTGCGTTTGAGCAAAAGGATGTTTTATAGGAAGCTGATAAGTTTGGTGGTCATAATCACCTTAGTATTTATGTACAAGGCTGGTCTTTAAAGCAGTGAGATTATTCACCTTTAGTTGTTTTGGTGATTTTATTTCTCAGGAAGGCTATCCAAGAATTATCTATTGGCTTGAGCATTGAGAACACGATAGAGTGCTTGTACCTACGAGGTTCCTGCTATCATGCCATAGGAGAGTATAGAGATGCGGTAAATATTTGTTTGTTAGCTTTATGGTTACATATTTTAAGGAGACTCTCTTATTACTTGCCTTGAATATGCTCACAGGTGAAGGACTATGATGCTACAGTTGACGTGGAACTTGATGCAGTGGAGAAATTTGTTCTTCAATGCTTGGCGTTTTATCAGGTTCCAACTTCCAAAAGATGTTTTCTGTTTTAATAACTTAGAGATCGACTGGATTTATAATTTTATTTGCAACACTAATTTCTTGGCACACTGTTGTTTGTAGCAACTTGGAATGATAGGCTATTGCATTACTATGTTGTAAAAGCATGACATCATTTATCTGATAGTAATGGTTCTCTGTTTGTTTATAACTAGCACACTGAAAAATGAAAACCTCCCTCTATCTAATAAATTTGGATGTTTCGTAGCAGCTCTAAACGTTTCCTTCACAATAACACTTAAAGTTATTCCTTTTTCTTCTGCAGAAGGAGCTTGCCTTGTATACAGCTTCCAAAGTTAGTAGTGAGTTTTTATGCTTTGATATTGATGGTGACATAGACCCTATGTTCAAGGTGATATATCTCTCTCTCGATATTTCTGATGTTGCCATAAAGTCGGACTTTTACTTTGTTTGCGTGTCAAGGAAGTATATGGATACAAACTGGCCCAGTTTAACTGGGTATACTCAATGTGCTTGAATGGAAAATTTAAATGTCTTCAATATAAAGTATCAAACAGCTCAACCAATTCCTAATCTGAATTAATCCTTTATTTCGTTTTGAGATACTAGATGATTATTAGTGCTTTCAAGTGCTGTAGGTGGAAATTCGAAAGTAGATCTCAGAGTTCATTGTGCAGTCACACACTCCTTTTTTCCACTCGTATATGTGGTGAATGTGGCTTTTCTTTTCTTGTGATTTTTCAGGAGTACTGGTGCAAAAGATTACACCCAAAAAATGTATGTGAAAAGGTTTACAGGCAACCTCCCCTACGTGAATCACTTAAGAAGGGTAAACTGAAAAAGCAAGATCTTGCAATAACCAAACAGAAGGCGAATGTTCTTCGTTTTGCTGATTTAATAGGCAAGAGGATCCAATATGATTGTCCTGGATTCTTACCAAACAAACGCCAGGTGACTTTAAGCAAATTTTTATAGTATCTACCTTTTCAACATTATTTTTTGGTTAATTTCCTCTTCCCTGGAGTGCATTTAAATTGCCCCAGAAGGCCCCTGTTACATCTAATGACTAGAATATGCCTATCATAGTTCTATTCCATTGATTATTTGTGTTTCCATGATTTTACAGCACCGTATGGCAGGATTGGCTGTGATAGAGATTGCTCAAAAAGTTTCCAAAGCTTGGCGCATCGAGTGGAGGAATTCAACCAAAGGCACCACAAAAAGTGGAAAGAAAAACCGGAGGAGAGAGAGAACCAACATACTTAGCCAGAATAGAGGTGGTGCTGGGTGTAGTAGTAACAGTTTCAGTGAAACTTCAACTGGATATGCCTCACTAGAAGATAGATCATCTGGCCGCTCTATGTTGTCTTGGCAAGACGTTTATTCCCCTGCTGTCAAATGGAGACAAATTTCAGAGCCTTGTGACCCAGTTGTCTGGGTTAACAAACTAAGGTACAAGTTCCATTTCCCATGTTGTGTAAATGGGTGATGTCTAATGACTATTGCAGGCTCAGCATCCGCGAGTCTATGTTTAAGTAGAACTTCAGTTAGTTTCATTTGATTACTTGGGTGGTTGAGATTATTTATACTGATTGCAGTGAAGAGTTTAATTCTGGGTTTGGTTCTCATACACCAATGGTACTCGGACAAGCTAAAGTAGTACGCTATTTCCCAAATTATGAAAGGTAAGCATATATAATATAGAACTTGAGGTTTTTTCATGTATTCAGTATGGCTTTTTCTCGGTCAATGGACTGATCAGTTTCTAATATGTTACTTCAGAACCCTGACTCTTGCAAAGAGCATCATCAAGGATAAACTCTCTGTACGCAGCAAGAAAGATAAAGTTATTGATCTTTCTAAAGACGAGAAGATAGAAAAAGTCAGTGTTTCTTTCTTCTCCCGTGAATGATTCTTGTTTTGTCATTGTTCTCTTACTGTATTTCCTCACGAGATACAGATAATGCGTGCTGAAACGTGTGATGAGCTACACAAAATTGTTGGTGAGGATTTCTGGGTGGCTACTTGGTGCGACAGTACCGGATCTGAAGGGTGGGTTTGTTGTTTAGTCCCGTAAACCTCTCTTCACTGAATATTTTCTGTTATCTTGATTTTGCTTTCTTTGTTCATATCTTCAGGAAACGCCTCGAAGGAACTAGAATCACCTGCATTCAAAAACCGTAAATTTTACTTTTGTTGCATGTGATTTCACACAAATCCTAATCATCACTTTCTTCAATAAATCTCTCTCGTTTTTATCCAGGGGAAGGCTCGGGTATGATTTTTCAATTCGAACTCCATGTACACCTGCAAGGTGGAGCGACTTTGATGAAGAAATGACCTCAGCTTGGGAGGTAAGACCTAACTCCTAAGCATACACAAATAATTCTTTATGTTTCTGAGAAAACAAACTTAAAAGTCCAACTGAATCCACAGGCTTTATGCAATGCCTATTGTGGAGAGAACTATGGTTCCACCGAGCTGGACGCTTTAGAAACCGTTAGAGACGCTATCTTACGCATGACGTATTACTGGTAAATGACTATGACAACATAATCGTATGATTGATTTACTCAGAAGCTGTTGGTATTCAATTGCAAACATTGCGTTTTTTTCACCAGGTACAATTTTATGCCATTAGCTCGAGGGACTGCTGTAACGGGATTTGTAGTATTACTTGGACTTCTGCTTGCTGCTAATATGGAGTTCACTGAGACTATCCCGAAAGGGTTACAGATCGATTGGGAAGCTATACTTAATGTTGAGCCGGATTCCTTTGTTGATTCGGTTAAGTCTTGGTTATACCCGTCCCTGAAAATCAACACGTCGTGGAGAGATCATCCGGATATTTCCTCGGCTTTTTCGACAACAGGAGCGGTTGTTGCGGCGCTTAGCTCTTACAACGATTGAGTTTCAAATCTCTCTGTCTCTCCCTCTCTCTCTCTCTGCTCACAATCTTTCATAAGAGGTGAAGAAAACTAACCAAACCATGAGCAGTAAGAAAACTTGTGTTTCCGTCAAACATCTTCAGCTTATGATATGTTTTTGTCTAAAAAGTAAAAACAAAAACAAAAAAAAAGCTTTGTTAGGGTTTTTAAATGATCTTTAACTCTCATGTTTAACTTTATTTTACAGATTTAATAATGTATCTAAATATGATTCTCTCTCGGAGCTTATGATTTACAAAGCCTTAGATCTTACGTTGTTTTGATTTTATTCAAACAACTCTTTTTTTATGCCAATCTTCTGACTGGTCTGATTTGGCACCATTAATACCGTGATCATATAACCGTTGTATGTTCTGATATTAAATCTCGGGTTGGCTGATTTTTCAGCCCTATACTAATTGCAATCTCAATTTTTCAACCCAAACTTTTTGTCTCTGAAAAAACCACCATAAAAAACTTTAAGGGAGATTCACAAAAATGCCCCTTTTTCAATACCCCAATTTTTCCCACCAAAACACTTGTAAAAATTTGTAAAACCTTTAAAATACCTTGTAAAATTTTCCCGTAAAATTTTTTCCCGCCAAAAAAATTTTTTTGCGGGAAAAGTGATTCCGCAAATTTTTTGGCGGGAAAAATTTACAAGGTATTTTAAAGGGTTTTTACAGGGTATTTATAAGGTTTTACAATGTATTTTAAAAGGTTTTACAACATATTTATAAAGTATTTATAAGATATTATAAGATTTTACAAGCTATTTTATAAGGTTTTACAAGTTATAAGGTTTTACAAGTTTTTTATAAGGTTTTACAAGTTATAAATACCTTATAAAACTTTATAAGTACCTTGTAAAACCTTTTAAAATACATTGTAAAACCTTACAAAACACTTGTAAATACTCCGTAAAACCTTTAAAATACCTTGTAAATTTTTCCCGCCAAAAATTTTCCCGCCAAATCACTTTTCCCGCAAAAAAAAATTTTTGGCGGAAAAATTTTACAAGGTATTTTAAAGTTTTTTACAAGTGTTTTGGCGGGAAAATTGCGGGATCACTTTTCCCGCCAAAAAATATTTTGTATTTTGTGGACCTAATTTTGTTTCAAATAAGGGTAAAATGGTCATTAAAAATTAAAAGAGGGCAAACTTAAAAATGGACTCTCAAAATGGGCATTTTTGAAAAGGGGTATTGAAAAAGGGGCATTTTTAACAATTTTCAAACTTTAATCTCAATAAAACTACACATACTTTCGGACTTGTTCTTAAAACTACGCCTCCAATTGAACCGATCAGTTAACCGGTAATATCTAATCCGGTTTGATTTACCCAGAATTTTGACCAAAGTTAATCAATTTTGACTCCATTTTAACCCAATTTTGACCCAAAAACACATATAGAAGAAAACAAATGTCTTCTCTATAAATAAAATTATTATTTTTATTTATTTATTTTTAATAAACAATTAAAAATAATAAATTATAAATTAATTTTACCAAAAAAATAATATACCACAAAATAATATGAATGTATACCACAAAAAAATATATATAACAAATTTTTGGTCTATACTTTTGTTTATATAAATATACAACAACAAAAAATATACCAAAATTATTTTTTGTGCTATATTTTGTTATAAAATTTATGGTAATATAACAAAATATACATTTTCTTTTTGGCAATCATTTTCTTATAAATTCATTTTTCTTTTTTAAAACTCAAACGTTGGTTATATATATATATATATATTATTGTGTTTTTAGAAAGAAAAATGACTTTTGAATTTATAAAAGAAAAATGATTGCCAAAAATAAAATGTATATTTTGAATATCACCACAAATCAAATTCATTTATATATATATATATATATATATATATATAAAATGAATTTGGTATAATATATATATAAACTTCAAACGCATTTTTCTTTTTAAAACCACCATATATATATATAAATATATATATATAACTGACCTTTGAATTTAAAAAAAAAAAAAACTGAATCTATAAAGAAAAATGAATTTATAAATATCATAATATATACTTTGATTTGAGTTTTGCATATACTTTGAATTTCACAATATACAAAATTCAAAGGTCATATATTATGATTGCCAAAAAAAATATTATTTTATTTTTTTGTAATATTACCAAAAGTATATACCAAAATTTTATTATATAATTCTTTAGAGGTTTATTTTTTATATCTTTTTTTGATAAAATTAAGTTATAATTTATTATTTTAATTGTTTATAAAAATAAATAAATAAATTTATTTATTTATAGAGAAAACATTTTTTTCTTTTATATTTGTTTTTGGGTTAAAATTGAGTTAAAATAGAGTTAAAATCGATTAATTTTGGTCAAAATTCTGGGTAAGTCAAACCGGATTAAATATTATCAGTTAATTGATCGGTTCAATTGGAGGCGTAGTTTTACGAACAAATCCGAAAGTACGTGTAGTTTTATTGAGATTAAAGTTTTTTTTGGTGGTTTTTTTAGAGGTAAAAAGTTTGGGGTGGAAAACTGAGATTGCAACTAGTATAGGGCTGAAAATAGTATGTTCATAAATTTTTGTTTACAAGATTCGAGTTACATTAATTATCGTTACAAAACTCACTCGTCGAAGTCTTTAACAAAGTCAACGAACGACCACTCGCTTGGGTTTTCTCTCCACCGACGCGCCGCTCTCAAAATTTTCACTTGTCATTGTCTTCATATTGAAAACTCGTAAAGAAAAAATGTCACGTTAATATTAAGAATAGCCGAAACGTGTCTTGTTTTTTGTTTCCTATCCGAGAAAGAAAACATAAATATAAGAAAACGTAACGAATACATTTCAATATTCTAGATAGTCATTGAAAGAAGGATTGGAACAAAGTGAGAAGCAAAAAAGAAAACAAATTCTTAGCTCCTAAGCAATACATTTCGTCATTGGCTCGACGGTTTTGATTCCATTTCCAAAAATCGAAAGAGAAATGGTGGAGGTGGTTAATAGTAAGCGATGACGGTGACGGTGGCAACAAACTAAAGATTAAAACGAGCCAAAAACAAATTTATAACGAAAGTGCCAATAATTGCGCTAGGGTCTTAACAACCAAAGTGAAATCCGTGTGGGCACCAATCCAAAATGGCAAAATCAATCAAACCAGCTGTCCTCTCCTTCTAACTTCCGACCAAAGACTCTTTTTGTTTACGTTTTCTTTCCCTCTTTCTCCTTGTCTTATTTGGATTGCGTTATATTATTCAACTTGAGTTTAATCATTTTTCATTATTAACGTTATACATGCATCAAGTCAAAATAATTTCACCCGTGCCGTGATGATCATATAATACTAATCCAATGGTGTACCCCAAAACTTCAATCTCAATTACAATGTACCTCATTTTTGCTATTTTACTAACTAATAATTTTCCGACAATTTAGTAGTTAGAAATTTCTAGACCGTGATCTCTAATATAAAATATCATAAATGTGTGAGCGATATTGGTAATCAATTATTATGATGACACATCAAGACTAGTGATTTTTAGTATTACCAATTTAATGTCTAACGTAAATAATTACTATAAATTAATTTTTATATCTGATCATATGTTAAAACCAAATTCAGTTTAACTAATCACATGCTAATGTACCCACTATTGGCGAATAAATTTATTGCAGAATATAACAGGAGAAAAATGCCAAGAAAATTTTAATTTCCTTTATTAAAAAGCACAGGAAAAAAAAGAAAAAGAGCTATTTTGTAAAATAAAAAGTAAAAACCTATTGAACCCTGCATTAATAGATACAGAATATGATGTTCTGTTTCTCAACGGCTACATCTGTCTGTGGTCCTTCTATTTAATCCAACGGTCCAGATCTCTCCTCATCGCCTATATATATTTAAAAACTCACTTCTCTTACATCAAAACAACACGCTTGGTTAGTTAAACTCAGTACTTACATCTTCACTTCAAACTCTTTCTAAGATCTTTCCAATTTTGTTTTTTTGTTTGATCTAAATTTGATAACATTATGGATCGCAAGTTCCTCCTAACAGTTACATTGATCTGCATTGTCGTCGCCGGTGTCGGTGGCCAATCTCCGATCTCATCTCCGACCAAATCTCCCACCACTCCTTCTGCTCCAACTACTTCCCCTACTAAATCCCCCGCCGTTACTTCTCCCACATCTGCTCCTGCGAAAACTCCGCCTTCTATAGCTTCTTCACCTGTAGAATCACCGAAATCTCCGGCTCCTGTTAGCTCATCACCCCCGCCGACACCCGTTCCAGAGAGCTCTCCTCCGGCTCCTACACCAAAGGCTTCTTCTCCTGTGAGCTCCCCACCGGTTCCAGCACCAGTAGCTGATTCTCCTCCAGCTCCGGTAGCTGCTCCGGTCGCTGATGTACCGGCTCCTGCTCCAAGCAAGCATAAGAAGGCTACGAAGAAATCGAAAAAGCATCAAGCTGCACCGGCTCCGGCTCCAGAACTTCTCGGTCCACCTGCACCACCGGCTGAATCTCCCGGACCTAACTCCGACGCTTTTTCTCCCGGTCCTTCCACATCCGCCGACGATCAGGTACATTAGCTTATATCAACAATGTTGATTTCTCTACCGTCACAAGTTCGAGTATGAATGTTAAAAATAAGACAAAGAATAACCAATGAAACAATGATGAAATTATTTCAACAATTTTAGAGACATTTCAAAACATTGAAAATCTGGTATTTCGATTTTGAATTTGCATATTCGATTTACTAAAATGAAATATGGAATTAATGCAGAGCGGAGCAGAGAGCACAAGGGTGTCGAGGAATGTAGCGGTGGGAGCGGTTGCAACCGCGTGGGCCGTTCTCGTTTTGGCATTCTAAATTTATCATTTCCCCCCTAAAATTTTTTAGTTTTTATCTTTTTGACCCTACCATTGTCTCTTTCTTTACGAATTTGGTATTGTGTGTTATTATTTAATTGATTATACAGTTTCTTTTATTTTATTTTATTTATATGGAAATAATAAGAAATTCATATCTGTCAGTGATGATAATGACACTGTTATTACACATTGATTGTTCTTTTCTTTTGCAGCCAATAGTCTTTAGTGATGGGTCCGAGTTCTTTATTGAAAATGACACATACAATTTTAATGCAGATTAAATATACTGTTGAATTTGACATGTACTCTAACATAATGTTTGTGTAACATCTATGAACAATAAGCAAAACAGTGATGTAAGTTAACAAAAGGAAGATTAAGGCATTGATGTTAAGAAAAAAGAACATCAGAAAAAACAGATTACTCACCTATGTGATCCTTCGAACAAATAGTTACAATTGCAATATAATTTATGCGAAAATGAAAGTGTCAGCTACTTAGTTGGATCTTATAGTTTATTTGTTTGTTTTTAAATGTGAAGTTGGTAAAATATTAGTAATTGAATCCATATCTGATACCTGTCACGTAGTTAACTCAAGTGGCCAAGTTGCTATAAATGAATAGTCTAAAATTTATTACTGAACATGTATGGATCCAATCGAATAATACAATGTTTTTTATTGTACCTGTGGATGTCGGATTCACAGGTACAATATTTTGTTAAGTGGGAAAGATTATTCTTGAGGGACAAAAATAAATATGCAAAAAACTTATAAATTGATACGAAAAATTGCTATATTCTTTCTCTCTTGAGAGGGCGATCCCCTTTACATGGCCATTGGCCTCTATATTTATACATAGCCAAACGACATTTAAAATGAGTAATTAAGTACAATTATTCCTTCTTAAATGTGCCCGTTTTGATTCTTCGGCTTTAATGCTCAACGTTTGAATTTGAGTTGACTCTGATCTTCATGGGCCTCGCCTCTTCTGGCCCAAATGTCTTTGAACCGACTTACCCGTGTCTTTTACACCGAACTCGTGTCACAATGCAGTCACTTCGGATTATCTAAATGGTGACAACCACTTCGACCATCCTTTCGGCTCGCGGGTCTAATGGGCTTCATCCTTCACGGGCCATTAACCCGATTACGTGGCAATCTTTGGTTGGTCTCGTACTTCTAGTGCGGGATCCGACACCAACAATTAGCCCCCCAAGTTCTTCGAAGTGCTATTCCAATTCGGAGGACTTTAAGTGCTAAAGTGACCAAAGATTGCGCTCGAGAATCTTTCTGATTTCCCGACGAAAATCTCATCACTCCTTTAATTTCGGCACTAGCCATTTTTAACCGAGTGACATCTGTCATCATTATGACCGTATATTGATTAATTACTATTAAAACGGGAAAAACCTTCCCACTACCCACACGACTCCCGAGGCGGTTTCATCATTAGCTTGAGGTAACTTCTTTTCACCATTACTCTCTTCTTTTACTTTTGTACTTTAATCAAAACCTCTCTCTTCGTTCCTTCACCAAAACCCTTCTTCGCCGGATCTTGAATTTTTCTTTCTTATCAATGACTTCTGATTCCGATAGACCCGAGTCTCCGTCTTTTGACGAGAGGCGTTCTAGTAACGATGAATGCACCCGCCCTGGTGACATCGCCGGTCCGCACTATAGGTCCACTTGTACTCTTCAATCCCTCGAGCAGTTGAAAGAGCTTTGCCGGATTCCGCCGGAAATTATGGCGGAAGCACAAATAGCTTCCCCCACAGAATCTCCAGAGAACCATCGCGATGGTTACTTCTGTGTGTATGAGATTTATTTCAAGGGTTGCGGGCTTACCTTTCCTCTTCCCGAAGCCCTAATTTTATACCTAGCGGCTCTTGAAATCGCTCTTCCTCAATTAACCCCCAATCTTCTCCGCACAATTCTCGGCATTATAACAATCGCGGCGGAGGCCGGTTACGTTATCGGAGTTGCCGAATTAAATGAGCTTCTAAGCGTGAGAAGCTCGTCGAAGAAAACGGGGTATTTCTCAGCATATCCTAACGCCAACAGGAACATCATTTCGCATCTTCCAAACAAGGATGAAAATTGGCATCATCCTTGGTTCTTGATTAAGAAAACTCCCGCTTCGGTTGGAAATCTCGCAGATTTCCTCCCTTCAAAGTGGTCGGCGAAACCTGGTAGAGATTAGGTCGCCCGTATCTTTCCCGGTTGTTTCTTTATCGTTATTAACTAACATCGTTGTTTCATTTCGCAGCTTTCATCGCTTTCATCGCTTCCAATCTCCCATCCGAAGAGTTCATCGAATTCTTCAAAATAATTCTTGAAGGGGAAACCCTTTGGAATTCCTTCACTCTCGAACGATTCATAGAGGCTAACCACAGACTCAGGATGAGTCCGCCTGGTCATCTTCACCAAATTCCTCCCCCTCCCTCAACTCAAGGAATGTCATCTCGGGCCCTCGCGGCCAAGCGTAAGTTGCTTTCCAAGCCGATGGCTGAGGCTCGCGAGGAGAAGAAAAAGTTTCTCGCGACTTCTATAGACAAGAAGGACTATAGTAGGACCTTGCTGGTCGATGATGGCAGTACTGAGGGAGCTCGATCTGTCGCGTCCTTCAGATTAACTCCTCGTCGTGACCGTCGCGACTCACGTTCTCCTCGGAGGGATCGATCTCCTCGCCGTGATTCACCTCGTCCTTCACGAGATGATTTTAGTAACGAGCCAATTAAGAACTTGGTTCGCCGAAAGAGAGACAAGTCCTCTCGTAGTGATCTTTCCCCGCAGAGGGAAAAGTCAAGGGCCCGGACTGACCGCTCACCTCGGTCATCCCCTCCTTCTGAACCAATGGGTCCTCCACGACCGGTTGACATGTCTTCCTCTTCCCAGCCTGATAGTGGAAAGACCGCCCGGAGCGCGTCTCCGAAAAAAGGAGATTCTGAATCTCGAGATGCTCCCTCGAGGCTGAAGCCTGCTCTTGTACCTCAAGTCAAATCGCTTTCAGGTTTGATGATTTACACACACTTAAACTTTTGTCTTTATTAAAATTCCAATTTTTACAATTCTTCTTTCTTCGCAGCTATGGAGACAGAAGGCAGCGTCTTCCGATGCTTCAAGACCCGTTCTGGTTCGATCTTGCCAGATTTCAACAAATGGCGCCCTGCGATTCGTGAACGTTATTTACTTCACGCGCATCACTCATCTCGGGTTAGTCCCGCTTTCTTTTATGTATATTTTTTATTGTATTGCCATTCTGCGAACTGACTCATCATCCCGGGTTCATGTATAACGCTAGGCTCAAAGCGAGTTTAACGACATGATCGAACATTACGAAGGGTTGGTCATTGGCCGGGAGAAGGAGATTGACATGTTGACGAAGAAACTCTCCGCCCTTGAGGCCGAACTCAGTTCTTCTGCCGGCTCCAAACATGATCTGGAGGACAAAGTCGATAATTTAACATCCGTGCTTGCGCAGGTAAAGGGGGAGCTGCAGGGTCAGTACGACCAGAACTTCAAACTCCAGGAAGAGTTTTCTGGTATTCAAGGTAGGCTTCAAGAGTCTGAATCGAATGCTGATTCTCTGAACAACCAACTCATCGAGCTCAACGCGAAGTACAAGGCGATCGCCAAATTGCGTGACTCCGAGTTGGCGAGGTCGGCATCGAAAGCCAGAAAAGAGGTCAAGGGACGCGGGATGGAGTTGATCCAAGGGGCCATCCGATTCATGCAGACTGAGAAGGCTAGGTCTGACCTGGAATCTGACATCAAGGAGCACGAGAGCAACCTGATCCTGCTGGATCAAATCCATGATGCAGATTTCTCCGAGGATCAAGAGAGAACCGAACTATCGGCTAATCTTTCTGAAAAGCGAAGTCGCTTGGCTGCTCTTCCTACTTCGACCTTCAACCCTCAGGACTTCGAGGAATTCTTCACCGAATCGCCTCCTATAAGCGAATCAGGTCTAGACTGGGCAGGTAATGCTTGGCTCCTGACATTTATTACCTTTCCTTTTCTTGCACCTTTGATTGACTGGAATTATTATTCCTAGGTTCAAGTGGGGCGGAGGACGTTGTCCCGCCCGTAGCTCCTATGGTGTCGGAGGTCACTCCGGAAGTTGGTTGTACCGTGGAGGGTGGTCAGGAAGCTTCATCTGATCAAGCAGCTGCCAAGGACGTGAATGAAGCTTCGACTGTTGAGCCGGACTCCGAGGTGGCTGCTGCTCCGTAGTGGCTGTGTCCACTTTTGAATTGGGGATTGTCCCTTTATTTTTAAGACTTAATTTCACACTTATTTTTGCCTAAGGAGGCTTTATCATTATTTTCTTTTGAACAAGATATTTGCCTGAGGAGGCTTTTAAACCTTTCTAGGTTGCGACCCAAGGGGGTTTGGTTAAAATTATATACGGGTTTGCAAAGTCCGCTTTAACCTTTTGTGGCCTTGTGGCAATGCTTTCGAGATTTTTAGGTTGATCAGACCTTTCTCTTCAGAATGCGAGAACTGAGCTCGGCTTAAAGCGAGTTCCCCACTTCGGGTTTAGTCAACTCGGTAAACTTGTCAGGCTTGGGCCTTAGAAACTTTTGCAGTTGATGCGACGGTTGCTTTTTCCCTTCTTAAAGAGAACGGCTCGTCTTTTAATGTAATAATTGCCTTTTCTCGATTTTCCAAAAATGGTTTAATCCACTTGGAAACGCTACCATTAATCAATTTATGGTTCCAAGGCAAACCCTAAATCATTATAAATAAAAGCTTACCTACCTCTAGGCTTTATTAAACATGACTCTAGAGTCTCACTTGAGAAATATTTTGAGAATGGAAAGCGAAACAGTAGCCCCCGTTGATCCCGGCAGCCCACTCTTCCTGTCCGGCGACGGCTTTGAGCCGGCCGGCGTTCTTTTCCCTCATGCCGTCTTTCACTTTCCTTCAAAGGAGAAAAAAGAGGCTTGCGACTTCATCGACAAGGTAAGTATTTGAAGTTTTTTGATTAAAAACTCTTTGTTTCATCTTATTCATTCATCTTTATGCTAGGTCGCCGACAAGCACCGTCGCTTGTGTGAAGAGAGGCAACGGCTAGGCCTCAAAAGGCAGACACTCGAGGCTCGTATTTCTCGGGTGGAGAGGAAGATCAGGGCTCTGGAAAGTGATCCCTTTCAGTGGGAATGGCGGAATTTCGATTCCGTTGCT